GGCGACCGGGCCCGGCAGCGGGCGATGCGCGCTTGTCTGCAAAGGCAGCAGGGGCCGCAGCGGCACCGAGTGGCGCGCGGCGACGGCGGCAGATCGCAGAGCCCGGGCGACCAGCATGGTGAGAGGGCCGGAGAAAGATCCAGCAAGGCGGACTCACGTGGGGGAAGGCCGGAAGGAAGGAAGGAAGGAAGGAAGAAAACCGAGGCCGCCCCCCCGCCAGCCTCCGCCTCCTCGATGCTCCCTCCGCCTTTTAAAGGAGGCGCCAAAAGCGCTTCGGGCGCGTTGGCTGTTTCAAAGCGGCGCGCTCTGCCCGGTCGGGCGTTTTGAAGATGCTTTTAGCTGGAAATGCTGGGGTGGCGCTCTGGGTTTCCATCCGTGGATGCCCCGGGAAGCCTGGTTTACGCAGACGGGAGGGCATCGTCCCTCTGGTCATTTGGCCGAGCGACTTCAGAAGTAGATTGCCCGTTTCCGGAGGCACCGTGCGGCGGCTGTGAAAGCTGCACAAAACACACTCATTTTCTGGATGGGGATCCTTATGTAGCCAGAACGGTGCCATCCACAAACAAAACGGAGGGGGCTAAGAAGCAGGGGGAATTTAAGGTCTGCGGAAATACAAGCAGGCCAATGTTACATCCGAGGACACTCATCTCCATGCGCTGACTAATCTGGACAGGAGGAGAAAAGGAGAAGGGGGGACCTGGATTGACTGTAAATGGAATTACATTACAGTCTTGCCATCTGTTTCATTTGTTCTGGCTAAAAGTTGTCGCTAGGCATCTTCCCAATTAATTGTACGAAATCAAATCCGCTGGCCTCAGGACTTCTAATTAGTGGCTTTTTCTGGATTGTATGGCTGCTCTCGGTAGCTACCTCAGTCTTGGGGAAAGGTGTGGGCACCTTAAGGTGTTCCAGACAGGTGCTGGGTTTGCACCCCGAAGGACCTTTGGGGAGTCACATCCAAAGCTCTGCAGAGCCTGCTCAGCTTTTGCGCTCTGAAGCTCAGCTAGGTGCTCCCACTTGCTGAGTTCATGTAATGTTTTCCTGTTGTTTTTCATTGTTGCGAGCTGCCCACATGTGAGATGCGAGGTTAAACAAATTGAATAAATAAATATAGATTTCCCTGAGTGCAAAACAGGATTTAACAGCATCTTTGGTTTGCAGTACTTATTTTTCTCCCATTTACTTCTGTGAGTGAGCAGAGATACTGAAGAAAAGTCTAATTCCTCCTTCCTATTCTATGTAATTAATTGCATTAGCCTTGGAAATACCTTATACTGTATAGGATGTGTTCACACATCATATCAAGTCAGGATTGTTTTAAAGCCATGGCTGGGTTCACATATCGTATTTATTCCAAATCTGACAACTCCATTATGGCTTAGGCTGTGCTAGCACTTTGTCCTCCCTGACTGAACTAACCTTCAAAGACTTACTCTGGTCCTTTTACCAGAGATGTCCGGGTGTTTGATCTAGGACCTGCAGCATGCAAATTTGCTGTTCTAGTACAGAGTTATGCCACCCTTGCTGTAGGAAGCACAGAGTTTTTATTTTGGGGAGGACCAAATCCAGCATAATTTTTAGCACTAACGAATCTATATAGTGAAAACATCTGGTGAAACTACACTCCTGAGTAACCACAGATTGTGTTTTCTTTGACCACAGAGAAATGACAAATTATCTCTTGATCTCACTACCTCAAAGGCTTCAGTCTTATTTCCTCTTTTTAAAAAGTTAGACAGATTGATATCAATTCAGCAAGTGTTTGAGCATTAATTGAATGATAAAAGAG